TTTTGTCATTATATCGATACGTTGTATTTTTATTGATAGTTTATTTTTAACTTAAGATGTAATTTTTAAAAATGTAATCACTCTTCTATCTTTTCTATGTGCTGGCTGTTTTTTTAAAGTTATATAACTTATATATTCTTATATAGTTATATCGTTATGTGTTATATACTTACATCACATGTGAATAAAAAAATTAAAAATTTAATTTACTTAATAATCTTTATTGTAGTTATTTAATCTCATTTTAAGAAAAATTAGAACATTTTGATCTAAAAAATAATTTTTTTCGAAATTAACCCTTACTAGTCTAACGTTTTTTCGGCACCTTTAATGGTCTAACGTGGGCCATTCGTGTCTCGGCGTTTTTTAGACATGTTAAAGGGCTTTAAAAAATCTGCAAAAATTCATGGACCTTCATTAATTCTTCAATTTCAAGAAAAAAAAATTTGTATGTCGAAAATAATTATTTTTGTATATAATTTTGTATTAAAAATGGTGGTACCGCGTGTAAAATCACTCGATCACTTATCAAATTTCGCCCGGGACTTGAACGACCCACGTTAGACCATTAAGGGTTAACCTTTTCTTCAACTTGAGTTAATTCAATATTGACTTAACTTACGTTAAGTTAATTCTTTATTCCTTCAACTTTTAATTTAATTTTGTAAAGCCATTAACTTTAACTTTATTCAGTTAAAAAAAAAACATTAACTTACCCAACCCTGTATATATTATATCCACGGTGAATATTTCTATATAACTTCGACAATCCTAAATCCAATTTCCGAGTTATTATTTACAAATACGTATTTTTCAAAATTCGGGACGCTTCTTATGCTCGAGGGCTACATCTACAGGGCAGAGAAACGAATAATAAACTCGTGGAAGTCGCTCTATTCGAGAATTTATTTATATTTCCACAGAGACACGAGCTTAAGACGCTTTGAAAGTGAGTTGTCCGATTGACGAGTTTTCCAAAATGCCTTTCTGTCGCGATCGACGAAACACGTTTGCTCGCCCCGTGTGGCTTCCTCTATCCAACGGGAATACATATCTATGTATACGCCACTCTATTCCCGGTCTATCCGCCCGCGCGGATCAGCGAAAACAGAAATACGACGGGGAGAGCGAGAGGGAATCGCTACTTGTTCGGTCGAGCCAATCGGTGCGAGCCAAGCAGCTGGCGATCCTTTCTCGAATCTCTTTTCCTTTCGCGTGTGTTCCCTCTTTTCTTCGGACCGACAGGCCCAGGTCTTTCCCCGGGTAATCCCTTCGAGGAAGAACGTACGATGCGGGGGGGGGGGGGGGAAGAAGCGGAGCGATTTCGCGCGCGCGGGAGCGGAAGAAACGAGGATGGCTCGCGAGAGAGGACGACCGACGATCCCGCGCTGTTTGCCTTTTATTAAACTCTTGTTAAACGCCGCCTTTCACCGCACACACAATTGAATCGGCAAAACAGCGAAGATAATGCCCCTACTGGCTCGGCATACGCCCGCAGGACCCTGCAACGAAGGAGGGAAGGAGAGCGGACGAGGGAGAGCAACAGAGAGAGAGAGAGAGAGAGAGAGAGAGAGAGAGAGAGAGAGGGGGGAGGAGGACTTACCGCAAACACCAGTTCTTCCTTCTACGTCTTGAAATGGACACCGTGTAATCCGCCTTTTTATGCAGCGACTGCTCGGGGATTCGTCCGGGATTCTTCTTCAGCCAAGAATCTCGCTCGCGTATATAGCGGATGGATCCTCGGCTCGAGATCGATTTCTCGCGGTGAAAAGAAACCTCTCTCTCTCTCTCTCCGCAAAAATGGCGCGGTCCAAAAATCCACCCTCCCGCAAAACCGGCCCCGTGTGTCTCATGAAAATATTTGGATGTCTCGAAAACTCGAGATCGGTCATCGGAAAGGGGCCCGTTTCAGTTTCAAAGGGCTGCTGCAGTGGAAATCGGGGACCCTTCTTCCTCGATTACGCGCGCCCTTCGCCGAGGTTGTTCCTTCCACGTGTCTTAATTCGACTCGTACAGTCGTGACTGAAATCCGTAATTCGGGATAGAATTCTATTTATCCTCTTTTGTGTCGTACAATATGAAAATTATTTAAGGAGAATCGAAATACGCAACCATGTAAAGTGTACATACTATATGTATGTCTAATATCCTGCGAAAAAAAATACATATAGATTTAATATATAATAATTAAATATAAATTTCATTAAAATTTAATATAATAATAAATAAGATCTTAATAACGATTTTAATAAATTTGGTTTTATTAAAACCTTATATAGATTTAATTTGGACCATATAATGATCCATATTAAGTTATATAAGACCATATTAAAACATATTAATTCAACTTATTTAAAACTTGTTAAGATTTAATTAAATTATATAAATTGAACTTTAATAAGAGTTTAAATTGGACTTAAATAAGTTGTTAGTATAAACTATATTAAAAATATATACATGTACGCATTTATTTATAAGGTTATATAAGGACTTTATAAATTCTTTTTACATAAATTTTGATGAAATCCTTATAAAGAACTTATAAGACTTTTATTTAGAATATATTAACTTTTTTTTCGCGGGAAATTTAGAGTAAAAGTCTAGTTTTGTGTGTTGTGTATGGAAAGAAGAATAAATGAGAATCAAAATACGAACTGCATAAAATATAATAAATCGCATACGTCAAAATAGAATTATAATTATGATACTCTACGCAATGTGTAATTTTGTGATTCGCGTCAGAAAGTTCAGAACAGAATTTTATTCATTAACAAAATATGCGACGATACAATAAAGCTACAAAAATTCTCTCTTAGAATTTAAAATAACGTCAGTTCTATACAGATTATTCAAAGCGGACTGTTTTAATCACTTTAAAACGATTATTTGCTTTTATCAAAAAGACGACAAATTTACGTTACGCTTCATTCGTATGCGTTTCGCTAAAACAAATATGTATCTCAATATTTGTTCGATAGAGAAAGTATAAATGGATATTAACACTTCGTTCGCGGGAGCCTCGCTTGAATCGATTAGGAAACAATAAATAAAAAAAAAATATAACAAAAATCCGCGTGTGTTTTCCCGCGCGATCGTCTCCCCCCCCCCCACGCCCGCGTCGATTATTATTATCCGCGCGGTCGCTCGTAAACGGTTCGTTGCGTCACCGCTCCGCTCCGCCCCGCTCCGCTCCGCTCTCGGGCATGCATCGATGACATCGGTTTGTAAAAAAAACACTTTTAATCGCTGGCTTGAGATACGTCTCAACATCAGAGGTTACGCCGTGAAAAATAACGGCGATACACAAATGCGGCGATATCGCGGCTCGGCGGTTCTGTATCGTTATTTATTGCCGTGGCAGAAATGAAATTCCTGGAAGGCGGGAGGAAAACGGGCGTTTTTCTCTCGATCAAATCGCATGCGAGCAATCGCGATGCGATCGCGCTTTTCCGTCGCGAATAACACTCCGGGGCTGTTTCGCGGAAATTGGAACCTGCGTGAGGAAAAAAATTGTAAAATTCGTGGCTCGTTGCGGAACAATCGGTTAAGCTTCTCTCGAGAAGCAGTCGATTCTCGGGTGAAATTTAATCGATCTCTATAAAGTAGTATTTTATAACAAATAAATTAGAAAATAAAGGACTCTTTACGTAAAAATAATTAAGCATAGATGAAGGACGGTTAGAGCCAAATCACAAAATAAAAATAATAAAGCGGTTATAACATTAAGTATGTAATAAAATTTAAAAAAAAATACATCGAACTAAAACTTAAAAAATTTAAAAAGGTATTATTTATATTCATGTTTAATTAATTCGCAGATTCAAGAATATTTAATTATCGTCATGGATTATAGCTTAGAGGATGAAATTCAATTTTGGACAAATAAAATACCTAGGAAGTTGGACACCTATATACTTTTCGTGATCTAAATAGTGTTGAGAATGTTTTTTTACTTGTTATTTCATTAATCATACTTTTCTCTTTTTAATGCCACGTAATAACTGGAAGTTTGCTTTATTCTAGAACTATAATAATATAATTTGATTTATTCACATTTTCAAATAAAACTAAGATTCATATTCTAACTCTTAATAACAGTAACAATGTCGTTATATTGTTGCGCGCAATGCAAGATTAACACAAACAAGTGCAAACAATAAAATAACAGTATTGTTATTATAGAATAAGGACCTCATACCTACCTTAAAAATTTTAACTTCTCTTTGTTTGTAAAAATTTGTAACGATTTACAATTGCGATAATTAGCGTCAGATAAAAATTGAATTATACAATTTAAAAAACAAAAACTATTTGTATTTAATTTTATAATATTTACACGTGTTTTATTAGATAAGATATGTTTTATATATTTGTGTAGGATAAATATTTCTCATACACAAATGTAAAATTACAAATAGAATTGTATTTCGAACTCCAACGCGCCAATCGCAGATCGTCCAAAGCGGATCTGGGTAGCGTGGAAAAAAAAAAAAAAAAAACAAGAAAGCGTAAGAATGATTTGTAAATATCGTTTATTTCTGCACCGTGTATTTTGTAGTCGGCTCGACAATGACGGGAGCAAAACAGTTTTAATCGTTCACCCGCGCACTATCTCGCGCGATTCGTTTTTTTGTTTCATACACACCTACAGTGGTAAAACATACGTATAACGAGGTAAAAATCAAGTAGTAAGTACTCGTACAAAATGTAGAATATTTCTCTCCTGTCTTTTTTCCTCTTTTTTTTTTTTTTTTTTATTAAAGAAGTCGGGGAAAAGATA